GGGGCGGCGGGGGGGTGTCGGGACCCCGGTTCACTAGTAAGGAAACTGAGGCATTAGGGGGAAGTCTGATCCAAGGTCATGCCGCTTTTAAAAGTGGAGGCTTTTGATCTCGCATCTCCTCCTAAAGCCTCTAGAATATAAGAAGCCTCCTCCCAGCGGCTTCCCCAGCTTTGCCCCTCACTAGTCCCAAGGTACAGCCATCCTCCTGTGCTGTCTCAACGACATCTGGCCCGTTGCCCATGGATTAAGGCCCCAGCACAGGTCTTGGCCCGCACTGGGCATTCCCTGTTCTCTGCCCTGAAGCAGCTTGTCTTGACTTCTATGACAGCATCTTTTGCCCATGACCTGCCTCCAAGGCAGACCGTGAGTCCCATGAAGATGGTTATCCTAACCTTGAGCTGGGCTTCAAGGTCAGGGATTCAAATGCAGGTACAGGTCCTGGCCCCACACCCCAGGGCCCCCTACTAGCTAGATAATAGGACTTCTGGGCCTTAGTAAAATGAGGATAAAATCAAGCTTCTCAGCGATGTAGCTGTAATGAGCCCTTAGAGCAGGCTAAACACTACTCAGGAAAAAGCCACTACAGCCACTTTCAGTTTGCTGAGCCCACGGCCTGCTGTAACAATCACTTCGGGGTTTTTGATTGTTTGTTTTTTGTTTTGTTTTTTTGAGGCAGGGTCTCACTATGTAGTTTAGGCTGGCTTTGAACTCACTGAGTAGCCTAGGCTGACCTCAAACTCACAGCGATCCTCCTGCCTCAGCTGCTTGAGTCTGGGGTTAACAGCACTTTAACCACGCCCAGCCTCTAACAATCACTTTGGTGGGAACCCTGTTAAGATTTTTTTTTTTTCCTTTGGGCCAGGGATTTACCTCAGTGTTCTGGCACCTATCTAGCAAGCACAAGATCCCGAGTTCGATCCCTGGTACCAAAAAAAAAAAAGGTGTTTTTTTTTTCACAGATGGCACTTTCTTTCTGGACTTGATCTTAGCCAAAAGGCCAAGAAGCAATATCACTTTCTTTCTGAGGTTGGAATACCATGACTGGCTGAGGAAGGAAGGTTGCCAGCCCCGTAACTTGACAGAGGGGAAAGAAAGAAGTGACTTGGGGATATCATAGTAAAGGTGGCCTCCAACCATATAGCTGATGCTCATAGAGGGATTGCAGCCCAAGATCTGATCCCAGGCTGGGCTTGAGAGAGGGTCAGCATTACACCCAGAAAGACCTGTCCTCCTGCAGGTTGCTGTAGGCCACTTGCCTACACACAAGAGCTCATCCCAACATAGGGAGAGCTGAGGGCTGCAAAATCAAGAAGAAACATCAGGAAGAGATGCAAACCCCCCAAAAGCGGGCTTCCAATCCCTCCAGCACTAGCCACGTGCAGGTTTCTCAAGCCTGCACCACCAGTTAATGCAGTCCAAAAGCCTCAGATCTTTCTCCCCCAAAAAATCACTGCACATAGTTGGTAAACTGCCCTGAAGGTTGGTGAGACCCTGAAAAAGCAACAGTAGCCTACTATTGATAGGAAAAGGAACCAGGTGGTGCCTAAGAAGACAGGACAACTGGAGGCCCTCTCAGTCATTGACAAAGATAAGAGCCTCTTACCTCTGTAGTCTCCCAGTCGCTGTCAAACAGAGCATTATACAATGCATTTTCAAAGAAAACCTAGCCAGGCATGGTGGCCCACGCCTGGAGTCCAAGAACTTCTGGGAAGCTAAGGCAGTAAGATTCCAAGTTCAAGCCCAGCAATTTAGCAATTTAGGGAGATCCTGCCTCAAAATAAAAAGGGGGGGGGGCTGGGGATGTAATTCAGTGGAAAGGCCCTAGATTCAGTCCCCGATACTGGAAAAAAAAAAAAAAAAGACAACCTTAACTGCTTCCTAAGATGTACCCACAAGGTAGTGCTTCTTCCAAGCAAGAACAAGGAAGGACAGCTGTCAGAGCTTCTCCCACACATACACCACAAGACTGGGACTTTCCTGTTTGTAGTTTTATTATTAAATCACTTGAAAACACAGTTCATGATCACATGAAAAAGAAATCCTACATATAGTGAAGCAGCTGCTTGGACTCAGAGCCAGCGCTGGGTTCCCATGCATGTGTTGAACAGGTAATCTCTGCCTGTGCCTGGCCCCAGATGATGAGGGGTGGGGGAAACACAGGTGACACATGGACAGACAGACACAGAAAGAAAGAGGGGCGGGGGAGAGAGATCACTGCAGTCTCAGCAGAACTTCTTCCCTCCCCTTCTGGAAGGGCCCCACAATGTGATCTCCTTTCTGCTGGAATCCAACATGTCTCCTCCCTTCTTGAAAAATTCCCTAAGGTCTGACTCAAACACACAGGAAGTCTTGATTATCTAAAACTGGACACCAGTTTCTCTATGGCCAGTCCCAGATTACTCTGCCATAATTCACTAGTGACACTGGAGTATGTGGAAAGCTCTCCCTCACCACCTTTGCCCCTACCTCTGGAAGCAGGGACCAGACCAGGTCTGAGTCATTTCGTAGCCCTATCAGTTTTTGACAAAGATTGGCTGAAGGATAAATGAGGGTGAGAGTGGACCCATCAGAGACAATGTAGATGGTGGCTGCTTGGCAGTAGAGGAAATTCTGGGATGGGATGAGGGCCCAGGAAGAAAATGATTTGGGAAAAGGAGGTACTCACGAGCACCCTGTGCTTTGCCATCAAAATGCTCCTGAGAAGAAAGCAAGATGATACAATGAAGTGAAGCTTGCCCACAGGGAGCAAATGAAGGACTGTCCTGCAGGCAAGGAGCCCATCTGTCTCCCCCAGCCCAGTGGTGCTGGTGTGGGCTGTCCCACAAAGGCAGCCTTTCACAGGCAAGGGAACAGGTTTGCCAGGGCCAGGGAGGTCCTCTGGAGCAGCCTCAGTGTCCTCTCCCCAGGAGGATAAGTTGACATACCAAGTTTAGGATGCTGCTGGGTGCCTGGGACATCTCCATTCTTGGTGTCTCCATGAACCCCTCCATAGATCTTTCTTTTCTTTGAATACTGGAGAAAAGTTGAAGCAAGAGCACAGGACAAGGCCTTGGGCACCAGCCCTAGCCAGGTGTCATGTTTCATGCCTGTAATCCCAGCACTTTGAGAGTCTGAGGCAGGAGAATCACAAGTTCAAGCCCAACCTGGGCAACTTAGTGATTTAGTAAGACCCTGTCTCAAAATAAAAGAAAATAAAAAGGGCTGGGGTTGTAGCTCAGTGGAAAGACCTTAGGTTTAATCCCTAGGACTGCGAGAAAAAAAAGAAAAAGAAGTGAACTCCCAAGTATAGAAGTATGCAAAAAAGACTGACCTATTTAGCAGCAGAGCCTGGCCTGGTTTCCTTGGTGCCTGCAGCACCTGGGCCAGCCTAAAATGACAAGAGGAGGAACCCAGCAGTGAGAACAGACCTGCCGGTATCAGGAAATGGTACCATTCATCTGTTCCTTTATATTAGGAACAACCAATGTTTGTATGTGATGCTCACATTGTTAATCTCCCTTCCCCTGAGCTCAGTCCTGCACCCACAGAACTTCAGTTTACAGGAGCAGGGCAGATTTTAAGTAGAGGACAGGGGTCAAGAATAGGTGGTATAAATGGCCCATGCAAGATAGTCTCAAGGGTCTCGAGCCCTGGGCCATCCACACCCATCCCATTTCAAGACTAGGCTCTGCCAATGAAGAATGCCACTTCCTCCGAGTGTCTCTCTAATTTCAGTCTGGAGACCTCTAGGGGACAGCAGAGCCCTCCTCAATAATAGTTTTTCTTCCTGTTAGCTTGGGCATTGTCATCAAATCTTGGGTGAAACCACTTATCCCAACCAGGGTCTGCAGGTGGGCTAAAGGAGGCAGGGTGCACAGGGAAAGGAACCCTACCCCTGGAGCAGCTTGCTGAGAAGCCAGCCTAGAGCTAGGAGGAGAAGGGCACTAGTCACTGTCAGTACCACCACAAACCAGGGCTCTGGCTGCCAGAAAACCTCTGTGTCTGTCACAAGCAGGGGTGTCATCATTGAGGGCACCTGAAATGGAAGACACAGCCTTACCATGGGCCTGCAAAGATGCCTGACCATCCAGCCTTCAAGCCTCTCCATGGGCTGAGCTGCCCCACTCCCCAGATTTGTACTGCTGCATTTCCAGGCTCTTTGCATCAAGCAGTCTCCTCTAGAATGCCTTCCCCTCCCATTCTATCTGAAAGACCAGGTCTCCTTACACTTCAAGTTCCTCACTCCCAACCCTCTAAGCTTGAGGCCCCCTCACTATAGCTCTGTGAGTGCTGGTGGCTATTGTGCTGGCCCTCCAGGGAAGTAGATGCACAATGATGGTGGCCGTTGTGCTGAGGTGGGAGATGGAAGAACCGGCATCAGCCACACGGATCAATAGCTCATAGGTACAGGGCTGCTGTGGCCAAGGAGGTCCCAACACAGGATCATTATGAACCAGGATGGCCCCTTGCAGTCTGAATCGGCTCTGACTATTCCCTGAAAGCAGAATGGTAGGAGAAGGGGACCACTGTTGGCCTTGACCTGGCCCTCATCCACAGCCTCATGGCCCCCACAACCCATACCTCCCACAATGCTGTAGGATAAGACCAGACGCTGTGGCTCCTGGGGGATCTGGCAGGACACTTTGGTCACCTCCACATCATGGCCCAGGGGAGTGGAGATGGTGAGTTCCTGAAATGGGGGCTCACACTCCGGGGCATGATCATTCACGTCCTGAAGAAAGGCCACCAGGTTAGGAGTGTGTGCAACCCAAGTCCAGCCCCTCAGCCTCCTCCTACCACAACCAAAATACAGGCATCAGGCAACAGGCTCTAACAGTTTGCACAGTGAGGCCCCATTCCCTCCAACCAACCAGTAGAAGAACCTAAGGCACAGCATAGAAAAGCAGAAACCAGAGTCCATTTCAAACTCTTGTCTTTCAAGTCTTCCCAAGGCCTCAGGTTCAGTCACCTCAACCTCAATGGTAATGGTACATGAACTGGAACGGCGGTGGGTGGGGTCCCAATCTTGCCCATGGTCAATCAGCAGGACAGTGAGCCTGTACAACTTCTGCTGTTCATAGTCCAAAGGCCCCAGAAGGAGAACTTCCCCTAGGAGGGATGGCCACAGCCTCAGCCAGAAGAGCCAACTTTGCCCCCACCCCTCCACCCAGCCCTGGGTGGCAAGTACCAGAGAGACGGTCCACAGCAAAGACAGTGGGTCCACCAGAGGTGTAGTACTCAATGCTGTTTCGGGGATAATCCATATCCGTGCCCACCACAGAGCCCAGCAGGGTATAGGGCTGTGCATCCTCACGAACCCAGAATGTCCGTGGGGCACAGGCTGGGGAGAACTCATTCACGGGTGTCACCATCACCAGTACTGGCACTTCAGCTGGGGGCCATTTGAGAGTCAAGGAGCTGGCTAGGGTGTACCTAGCCTTGCCCTGGGGGTCTGAGGAAGGAGATGTCCCCTGCTCTGGAGCACTAAGGAGGGAGAGGGGCTGGAGGAAAGGAGGCAATGGAATCAAAAGTCCTGGATTAAGTAGGGTTACATACTGGTCATCTGGGGCTGACCACTGTCATGCACCAGGACGGAAGCTGCAAGCTGGAAGCAGGCCCCAGGAGTGTCACAGTCCAATGTGGTGTTCACCTGGCCAGAGGGGCCAGAAGGAGGGCTCAGCCCAGGTCTGGAAGAGCCTCAAGCCACATTGGGCTGCTCCAGGCCCGGGCATCCAGTCAGCCTATCCTGATCCTGTTTTACAGACTACAAAGCAGGTGATCTCAACAACCACCACACCACCACACCACCACCTCCAAGTTCTCAGTGTCCACAGATCCTTGACCTGTCCTCCCCTTCCTGCCCTAGAGGTCCTACAGATGGGCTTGAGAGCAAGTGGGGGCTGGCACCTCAAGGACCCTGTCATAGAGACAGAGGCTGGCAGGCTTGGAAGGGCTGTGAAACCGAAGTTGGTAGTGGAGGTTGGTATCAGCAGAGTCTGGGTCAGTGCACATGAAGGTGCTCAACACGGTGCCCACAGGTGTGGCCTCAGGGACTTCGGTCCTGGAGGTGAGGGTGGGAGGCAGGGCAGGAGCCTTGCCCGGCTGTGAGCCTCGGATCTCTCCAAGCAGCCAGGGCAAGGCTTCTGCATACTCACACCAGGAGCGCGGGACTGCAGTGTGGGGGCCAGCGGTTGACAGGCCGCACATTCACGGTGAGGTCCAGCTCGGCACTGGCCCACGGCCGCAGCTGCTCAAAGGCCTTCACGCGTAGTCTTGTGCCCCCTGCGTCTGAGGTGCCTGACAGTTCCAGGGCTGCAGTGGTCCGGACCACCCCGTCGGCTGGGCTCAATGGGAAGGAAGAGAGGTGGAGTTGGTCTGGCCCCGGCTCAGGCCACCCCTGACCCCAACTACTCCCACTGCGAAAGCCACTGACCGAGCTATCCCACCTCCTCCTCCAAGGCCAGGGCCCCAACCAGGGTTGCTGCCCTGGGTTCGGAGGGTGAGGTGGTGATAGGGGCTTCCTGGTACCCGCACTCCCCATCCCCCTCACCACGTCCAATGGAGTAGAGCAGGCTGGGCACCGGGGAGGAGATTTCATAGCGCAAATCGAAGCCAGTAGCCTGGACCTGAATCACCTCGCTCCCAGGGACAAGGTTCTCAGGTATGATGATATTCTGGGTCTTCTTTCTGAACCAAAAGTGGAGCCCTGACTCCTACCTGCTCCCATGCATCCTGATGGAGTCTCCTGGCTGCTCCCCTGGGGCTCCTTTCCCTTTAGAGCCAGGATGCTCCAGCAACCCAGTACCCTACCCCTACTCCTGATTTCCTGGGGCCAGGCCCTACCTCCCCCACTGCTCCCAGAGTAGGGAACCCTTACAGGAAAGAGACCTGGCTGGAGGGACCAGGCAAAACCTTCACCATCAGCGTCCCTTTGCAGCTTTGGCCTTGTCCAAAGGTCACTGAGATCTGCAGCTGAAAGACCTGCAGTGCATACCATGTAGGAAAGAGGATCATGGGATGTATTCACCCTAGTTTATACTCAGTCCTTCCCTGGAGGCCTCCATAAGGACCCCAGTATTCACTCCTCCCCTGTGACCTGTCACTCTGCTAGTCTCACTATTCCTGTGAGCTCTATACTTTGGGGGCATAAATTCTTCTATTAGGTTGCAAACATCTCAAGGAAGAGTAATATCTCAGCATTCACAACTGAATTGTTAGATTAGAGTTGCTACGAGCCAATTACTAAGAGGTGGAAGTGTTGAAGAGAGAACTTCTTCAACTCCTCAGTCGCCACTTTACTCAGAATTTTCTCTTAATGTGTGATTGCCCTAAAACACTGCTTTCTGCTAGAGGGCCTGTGGGAACAGGGATTGTTCCTCTTCGTAGAACTTCAGAGCCCAACACATACTGCAGTCAGCATTGGGAAGCAGAGGTAGGTCTATGAGAGGCAGCATTAGTCCAGGAGCCAAGGGGGCCAACAACAAACAAATTGTCAGAAAGTGGTGGCTCTGCCCAATATACTGATATCCCCAGGGGCCAACTCATGCTCACCTTTTGAGCCTGGCCTCTAAGGCCCTGGGATGGTACCCGCAGCAAACCCTTTTCATTGATAGAGAAAGGTCCAGGAAAGTATGGAGGGTCCTGGGCGCTGGTAATGTTCATCTGATAGAAATGAGAAGCTAGCAGCTCCATGCAGCACTTAGTGCCCCAAGCACCACTGTCAACATCCTTCAACAATTCAGTGAGTACCTGCACACCTGACCCTCTCATGCCTCACCCTTGACTTTTGCCCCAGCCTAGACTCCTTGCCCTCCACCCTGAATTCTACCCTGATCTTCAATTCTGTTTTAAAATTAGTTATTTTTTTAAAAACTGCTTTCTTTTTTGGAATACAAAAGTGATATAAAATCATCAAGGAGAACTCAGAACACATAGGAGAACTGGAAAGAAGAGCGCAGCTGGGTGGAGATTTAGCCTGGCGAGCCCAAGGTCCCGAGTTCACTCCCCAGTACCAAAAAAAAAAAAAAAAGGAAAACAGCATGGTGTCTGGGAGGGTTGGTGGCCCTTGGTGGTTCTTTCCAACAACATACATCCTACAGAGGCTCAGCTGTGTGCTGTAGGGTCCTCCTGTGGGGTGTGCCTGGCCAGGAAGAGGTTGAGCTTGCTCTCCATCCTTCCCCCACCTCAGCCTGTCATCCATGTGCTGGGCTCACCTGGGCTCCCTGGACTTCCAGGCCTGGGAAAAGCAGGGTGTACAGCAAGGCCCCGGGGCTGACAGTCTCCGGCACCTGAATGATTTCCCCAGCTACACAGAGAGGAGGTCAGAGAGGCTCTTTTCAAGCCATACCTGCCCACCCCTGCCTACTGCCCCTGGCCTCACCTGGGCTAACAAATCTACCAACACACTGGATATGACCAGGGTCTCGATGCACATCCAAAAACAGTGGTCCCTGCATCACAAAGTTGCCACATGTATATTTCAGCTGCAGCTCATAGTGGTTCACTGCAAGGGCATCCAGCCGGGCTGAGCTGCTTAAGGTCACCTGTGGTGGGTGAACAATGGCCTGTGGTGCCTAGGCTGTCTCCCTACAACACCCTTGGATTTTGGATTTCAAGTCTGCCCTGGCCCCCTCATAGTTCCCAGTTGTACTCATGACCCTACCTTTCCCACATAGATCCCATCACGCCCAGCAAGGCTGGGTGTGTTGAAGAAGGTGGTGGGTGGCTGCACGCTTAGCAACTCCAGGGTGGGCATGTAGAAGGAGCAGTTGAAGGTGAATGCCTGAAGGACAGTGCCGGGGCCCTTGCTCTCAGAGACATTTACAAACCAGGGCAGGCTGTGGAGGTCTGTGAGGAGCAGAAACTCAGGCTGGAGGCCTCCCATGTTCAGAGAACCACACATACAAGCACAGTCTCACCCTTTTGCCACAGGACCTGGCCACATCTTGGGACCAAGTAACCGAGGTCCTTCCTTGTCCCCACATCTGACATTTCACAGATGGGGAAAGAGAACTTAGTTGAGGAAGCAAGATAAGATAAGGAACAAGGGTCAAGGGTTCTGATACCCTTTCCCGCTTGTCCCCCAGCCCTCCCTCCATGGTAGCCCATCGAAGGGTCACAACTACGAGGGAAAACTGGGGCTCCCCTTCCCACCAGCTCCTCACCAGAGACAGCCAGAGCCAAAAGAATCACCAGGAGCCTCAGAGGAACCATGGTTGCCTGCTTAAGAGATGGCAGAAGAGGCTGTTGGTCAGGTCCACCCCGTTGCCAGGTCAGTTGCTCAAACATAGCTGGCCCCACCCAACCCCCTGTGACTGTGCTCTGAACCCTGGCAGACCTCCAGAGGCCTGGAAAATCTTGTCTTCCACTGTCCCCAATGAGGTCTCTCACTAATGACCATACTACAAGGGAATGGGAGTAGAGAACCAAGCTACAGACTACCGAATTTCCCCCAAAATAAGACCTAACCAGAAAATAAGCCCTAGAGTGATTTTTTTCAGGATGTTCGTAATATAAGCCCTACCTCCAAAATAAGCCCCAGTTAGGATCATCAACCAAAAAAAAAAAAAATCAGCCAGCCAGATGTGTTTGATATGTCCCTTGCAACACACAGTGGATGTATTGAATTATAAAATAATAATATTAAAATATAAATATTATTATTGGTATTAATACTTAACATAAATGATAATATAAATTATAAATGAAGTATTTGTAAATACCCAAGTAGGTGCCTTTGGCCAAGAAGTAAAGTCCTGTGCAAACAGATGAACTCAAGACTTATTGCTGAGTGACCCAATAACATCCACACTTGATAACAAATGGATGTGGTTGTGTCTATTATGAATCTTCATAATTCGATATGTCATGTGTTGTAAGAACCCATTATGAGCAGGCTACATGGACAAGAAGTCCTCATTTAAGGAGAGCTTTATCGCTGGACATGAGAGATTGGGGCCAAATGTTATATTGGAAGTGGAGTCACAAGAAATTCAGGCTGGAATTTGAGGTTTGGAGAGTTATGACAATATTCCAGAAGATGACATGACTGTATTTGAATGAATGTAGATTTTTATACATGAATAAATGTAGATCGTTATACATGAAAAAATAAGGCATCCCCTGAAAATAATCCCTATTGCATGTTTTGGAGCAAAATTAATATTATTAATATTATTTGGGGGGAAATATGGTCAGGCACAAGGTGGCTTCCTGGAGTGGCTGAGGATGTGCTCTTGGTTACAACTGTTCACAGATTTTAACATTTATTTAGCTGTATCTTTAATATTTATCCATTTTCTCTAGTTATATGTCAGTATTTTTGCAGTACTTGGGATTGAACTCAGGGCCTTCTCACTAAGCTATATCCCACCCTCAGCCTTTTATTTTTTTTATTTTGAGACAGAGTCTCACTAAATGGCTAAGTTGCCCAGACTGGGCTTGAACTTGAGATCCTCCTGCCTCAGCCTCATAGAGTGCTGGGACTACAGGCAAGCCCAGATACTTATGTCAATTTTAAAAAGTTTTCTTCCCTTGCTCTGTAGCTTTTTACCCCTCATGCTGTTCTCTACCCATACCAATTAGGGTTGTCCCTCTCTTCACACTCGCCAGGGACCTCAGTGACCTGCACACTGCTGTGGTCAGCAGGGGTTTTTTTGTTTTTTTGGTTTTTTTTCTGTGATGAAAACCAGATATGTTGCCCAGGCTGGCCTTGAACTCCAGGGGTCAAGGGATTTTTCTGCCTCAGCCTCTGGAGTGGCTGGAACTACAGGTGTTACACTCTGCCCAGATCTGAAGCCAGAAGTTTATTCTCTACCCTTACCTATTCTGCTCAGCATTTGACACTTGCTCCCTTGGCTCCTAAATCCCCACACTCTCCCACCTCCCTGGCTGCACTTGCCCAGCTCCTTTGCTGGTACAACTTCACCTCCACTTCTTCTATCTAGTGGAATGTGTAGGATTCCACCCTCATTGCTGTGCTCTTCTGTCTACACTCACCTCCCCATCTCATCCAAGTCCATGCTGGAAGTACCATTCACTGCCTTTGCCTGCAGTCCCATAAGGCTCCAGTGCTGTCACTGCTCCTGAATTCACATCATACACCTTGTACCTGATCTTGAATCTTCTCCAGAGTCACATGTCCACACATGATCTTTTGATTTCCCTCCCAAACCCACTCTTTCCCAGATCAATTTAGGGCAATTCCATCCAATTAGCTGTTCAGGCCGGAAGTGCAGAAGTCATGCTCGATGTCCCTTGCCTACCCACATCTATGCATCATCAAGGCTTGATTTCAACTACAAAACATGATCAAAATGATCATCCTCTGGGTGCCTGCTGGGGCAGGCCCAGGCCTTTGTCTCCTTTGTCTGATTAGTGTCACTCTCCTAAAGAAGCTGGGACTATTTAACCAGGACAGTTCAATCCCTGAAAAAAGGCTTACACTCCTTATGGAATCAAGAACAAAACCCAGGCTGGACATGGTGATACATGCTTGTAATACAAGCACTTGGGTGGCTGAGGTAGAAGAATCTTGAGTTTAATGCCAACCTACATTATATAGCAAGACTCTTTCAAAACAACAACAGGCGGGGCATGGTGGTGCATGCCTGTAATCCCAGCACTTGGGAGGCTGAGGCAGGAGGATTGCCAGGAGTTTGAGGCCTGCCTGAACTACATAGTGAGACCCTGTCTCAAAACAAAACACAACAAAACAACAACAACAACAACAACAACAACAAAGAATAAAACCCATATTTTCCTCTAAGGCTACTAGGAGTCTTGTTTTGCTGACCTCTTTGCTCCCTGTATCGCCACCAATTATACACACCTGGGCCTTCTTTATGTTTGTCCCTGCCCAGCTTCCACCCAGCTCCTGAACCTTGGGTCTTTATATCAGCTTATCTCTTTGCCTAGAATGGCCCTCTTCTTTTTTTTTTTTTCCTTCTTTGTTTCCTCCCTCCCTCTCTCCTTCCCACTCTCCTTCTTTCCTTTTTCCTGGTACTGGTGATTGAACCAGGGGTGCTCATTCACTGGGCTTATCTCCAGCCCTTTTCATTTTTTATTTTGAGACAGGATCTCATTAAATTGCCTAGGCATTACTTAAACTTGCCAGTCTCAGTCTCTCCAGTACCTGGGATTACATGCATGCACCACACACCTGGTAGAATAGCCCTCTTCTTTTTCATTTCAAACTTATTTTATTAGGTACCATATATGGTGTATATATTATAGTCTCTTAATTAAATAAATCTAAATTAAATTCATCTGTGGAGCTAAGATAATATTAATTTTCAAATTCATACACACAGCAAGCCCACTGACCCCCCAATTAGTACAGATACACATTTCATATTAGTATGTGACTGAGTCTCATCCTCATGAAGAGACTAAGCATAAACTTCTTTAAAAAAACAATTATTTTGGTCCAATGTCTACAGCTCAAATTGGCAAAATTTTTCCCCAGTCGATCCTCAAATCCAAACATGGACTTAAGGGATGATTCTTAGTCCCTTAATTCTAAAGTGCACAAGATGCTTAAATTGGCAAAGATACTAAAAGCCAGGTAGGAATTTGAGGGCAACTGATCCTATCCTCAGACACGGAGCTAATATCTTCCCCCCGATCTTCGCATAAAAATATCAGTGAAATAAACTGGGGGTCCGCTTGAAAATGACCCTCTTCTTGATCTCATGATGGCTCAATTGGATTGTACCCCGATGTCACCTCCTCTGAGGGATCTGTCAAACCAGCTCATTCATCTTTATTCCTCCATATTTTCCTGCTGATAGAGCCAGTCTGTCCGCAGGTAGACTGTATCCTTGAACCTAGCCTCCCATCCTGGAGCGACCTCACCTGATGACCAGTGACGATCCGGTTGGAGAGCGCCACCCACCCCGCACCGAGAGCCACCACCTAACCCCCACTAGGGAAGCGGATGTCAGTGCTTCGCTGCGCTCCCGTTAGAGGGCGGTCCAGGGAGACGGCTGGGACTTCGCCGAGGCCCGTCCCCTAACGCTGCGAGGTCCTGCACTCCTAGAGGATGCAGAGGGGCTGAACCCCAATCCTATTATTTCTAGGGACCGCTGAGGCCAGTCTCAAGAACGGGCCAGTCCTCGAGTGCACCACAACTTCGCCAGGTCCGACGATCACTGTCGCTCTGCCCACATGTGGGGGTAGCACGGAGTCCTCGTGGGAAGGACCGCTCTTCCACCGTGGAACAAATGGGCAAGCTGAGGCTACTGTGGGAAAGCGACCTGTCCCGCGTCAGGCACTGAACCCAGGATTAGCTAAACCTCACTGCATGTCAGGGGGTCTCTAGCTGAACCCAAGCTGGCGCCTAGCTAAGGCCCCGCCCCTTCACGCAGAACAAACGCAGTGTGGATGGGACGCCCGGGTCACCCGCGCCGCGGAGCTCGAGGGGCGGTGCTGTAAGGGGCGGGGTCGCTGCAGACTTACTCCACCCTCATTGGCTGCGCCGCGGGGGGCGGGGCGCGGCTGCCAGATGTTGGAGCGGCGGCGGCTGAAGCTGCTAGGAGTCCGACGGAGAGTGAGGGCGCCAGGCAAGCCAGCACAGCCAGCCTGGCCATGTCTGAGCCGCTCCTCCGGGTCGAGGAGGTGCTAGCAGCCCTGGAGGGCGCTCTGGCACCGACATGCACAGCGCGCGTCTAGACGGCTTCCTGAGTCAGCTCCGCTGGGAAATGGTGAGGCGCGGGAATGGGTGTGGCACTGAGACGCTTGTGGGGTGCCCGGTGCCGCCCAGCCTTGGTGCCCACCAGAGGAGGGAGGGGGAGGGGTGGCCAGATGGCCCGAGTCGGGTTTCAGATGGCTAGGAGCTGCTCTGGGCATCAGGTAACAGCAGCCCAGCTGGCCATGCCGCTGGTCACTGGGGAAGAGAGTAGGTGGAGGGAACTTTTTTGGGGACGGGGGGGTGCCAAGGGCCTAAAGAGGTCTGGTTCTGCTGTGGACGCCCCCTACCTCAGGCTGTCTCCTTCCCTTACCCCTCCTCATCTAACAAGCACTCTCTCTCTCTCTCTCTCTCTCTCTCTCTCTCTCTCTCTCTCTGAAAGACACTTTGGGCTCTGAGGATGCCGTGGGACGCCCCTCCCCAAACCCAGGCAGGACTTAACTTCCCAGTGCAGGCCCTGGTGGCGGGTGTCGACTTGCCCGGCCCTGCATGCTGCAGCCTGCTGCACTGCCACCAGGTCTGTTCGTGTGCCAGGGCCCCCATACCTGCCCTGTGTTCACTTTCCACCCTGCTGCCCAGGCCAGCAGCCCTTTCACACTCTCTGAATCATCTGTTCTCAGGGCTGATCTGGCCAGGCACACAAGGGTGACAAGCAATACCTCTCCGACTTCTGCTTTCTCTTCCCCTTCAGTTGTGTAGCCGGAACACAGGCTCATCTCCATTGCCTGGCCCCCTGCAGTCATCCCCCAAAACTGACCCAGGTGTGCAGCCTGGCCACCAGCTTGGGGCCTCGGATGCCCTGGAAGAAGACTCTGTCTGCTGTGTGGAGGAAGAGGAGGTGGTCGCCTTGGCGACAAAAGACAGGGGTGCAGTCTTGGGGGGTCACAGGGAGCACAGTCTAGACTGGGACTCAGGCTTCTCGGAGGTGTCAGGCAGCACATGGCGAGAGGAAGAGTTGCCTGTACTCCAGCGCCCAGCACACCAAGCACGGCCCTGTCAGAGTCAGCGGCTCTCAGTCAGTGGCCTCCCACTGCCCAGCGCAGCACCTGTAGCCAGCACCCCATCTGCACACCGTCCACGCCCCAAGTCCACCCCAGATGCCTGCTTGGAGCATTGGCAGGGACTGGAAACAGAGGACTGGACAGCAGCCCTGCTGAACAGGGGTCGAAGTCGCCAGCCTCTGGTGCTAGGGGACAACTGCTTTGCTGACTTAGTTCACAACTGGATGGAGCTACCTGAGGCAGCACGTGAAGGGGGCGATGACGGTGCACCCCGTGCTCGTGCTCGGCCCCCCCAGTTCTTGGTTGGTCTCTCTGAGCAGCTGCGGCGCCAGCTGGCCAGGGCTCGGCGAGCAGCTATGGCAGGAAAGCGGCTCTCATGCCCACCTCGCTCAGATCCTGAACTGCCTGCAGATGTCTCTCGCTTTGCAGCCCTCATGAATTGCCGCAGCCGCCAACCCATCATCTGCAATGATGTCAGCTACCTCTGACCCTGCCCTCCAGTCGGGGACAATAAAAGCCTTTTTCTATACTGTTGGTTCCATACACCTGAGGCTCCAGAAGGCAGCTGCATCCCTGGGAGGCACTGTCCAGGCAGGCAAATCTGAAGTCTTTTCTTTCCCTTTGACGGTCTGTCTTGCGCATGTCACACCCATCCATGTGGTCCAGCGCCCCTGTCCTATCATCTATTTTCTCCACTCATGCCTTCCTTCAACAAGCTTTATTGAGTGCCTGCTGCGGCCTCAGGATTCAGGGCTTCTGCATAGGGCTGCACGAACTCAAGTGCAGGGGTGCCTCACCACAGCTCATAGTGTAGAGGTGGGAAGGCGGTGTTGTCCTCCTCACCCTCACAGCTCAGCTCCAGCACTAGCACCCTCAGTCCAGGCTCAGGCACCCAGTCTGTCTCCTGCTGAACCAGTTCTGTCACCCTGGAATGGGGGGTGGTTAAGAGATTAGGCAGATGAACTGAGGCAAACAGAGACACCCTGGCATGAACTTGGGGGTGCTGGTGAGCAGGAGCTCAAACCAGGAGCAGGAGTAGCTCAAGACAGGAAACATCTGAAACTATTTTAGGAGCAGCTGGTGGGGCAGGCAGGAGGCAGGAAGCTTTGGGTCCCCTGGGAGTGGGCTGTGAAAGGGGGGCTGGGCAGGGCGTGGGGAGCCAGTGGGGAAGGCCAAACAGGCAGACCCTAAAGCAGCTTCTCCTCAGGCCTTCAGCCCTGCCCCACCCCCAGCCCATTTGCTGGCTCCTTTTGGTCAGAGAATGCTTCAGGAAGGTGTAAGGGGCCCAGAGTGGGATCAGGAAGAAGAAAGGCCACATGCCTCCTATCTTCAACCTCTCGAGGCAGGCAGGGCCTGGCCACAGCCAGGTACAGGCTCACCTTAGGGGCAGGTATTGGGCCTGACTTTCAGGGGACCATCGGGCTGAATAGAGCAGGGCTTGACCACGTAGCAGCATCCTCACATTCAGCCCATGTTGTTCCTAGAAAGACACAGGTCAGATGCCCGCTGAGCCAGGCTGGGTGGAGCCAGGGCAGAGTGGGGCAAGGGCACACCTGCAGATGGGCCAGCAGTGACTCCAGTGTCCTTTCGGGCTGCCCAGCAGGCACCTTTAGGCGGTCCCAACGGGTCCACTCCAGGTGATGGAACTGAGGGTGGAAGAAGGGAGGAGTGAGAGACTGCTTGCTCATCCAAGTTGCAACCCATGTCCCAGTTTCTAGCAGCCTTTCTTAAGGGGAGGAGCTGGACTAGAAGCAGGAAGCAGAGCCAGGGAGTAGGGGGTGGAAGGTGGAATCTGGGCCCAGGCTGGGGCCTGCACAGGAAATGGGGCTATGGGGCCCACACAGGGAAACAGATGATCCATCACGCAGGCCAGTTGCTGGGGGTGGGGGCGAGGGGGTGGTGCTTCCTGAGGAAGCCAGAGCCAGGCTGCTGTAGTCTCTGATAAAGCTGCTTGTTCCTCAAATGCAAGGCTGAGGGCCGGGGACACATCCTACTCGCCTATCCTTACGGAGCCTTGGACTACTCATGTATACACCGGGGCCAAGGGCACAGTGACCACCAGGGCCCTACTGGCCCCGAGATCCCAGAAGGGACACAAGCAGGCCACAGAGGCCTCCTCTTCCTGTCACGTTTCCTTCCCTGTTTCAAGAGTCATAAGATTCTGATGTCCAGAGCTGAGGACAGAAGGGTGGCCAGCAGCCAGAGTCCAGGACAAGGAGGCCTTGCCAGCCCCTTAGACAATACCCTGAGGTTGAGCTGAGACTAGGCTAGACACAAGATGGGGGCTCCTCCCCCTCCTCTGTTCCATGGACAAAGGCAGCCTGTGTGCTGCTTAGAGGTGGGGCACTTCACAAAGGGGCTCTGTGTCCCATGTCCAGAGGGACCCTAGGGCTACCCAGCAAAGCCCAGGGCTGGCCAGTGACCTCTGCCCTCTTCCCTGGCAAGGGCATTTCCTCTGCCCCCTTTCCGTGCCTGAAGGAAATGGAAACTACTGCAGAGCCTGGGCACATAATCAGAGGCATTCCCAGCCTTGCCCTCATAGAAGCACACATGCACACAAGCCCAGGAACACACACACGTGTACCCACTTGCACATTCATGCATGCTTACACTGAGGAAGAGCCCTGGACTCCCATCTGGCACACAAATGTGCAAGCTTGCTACCTCCATGCCCACATAACAGGGATGCCCAGACTCTGGCAAACTTATATCTGTGACCCAAGCACACACTCCTGTAGGGGTGCAGACCCATACGCCTGGAAGCAAGCCTGGGGTCTTTTAACTCAACCTTGAGGGGACAGGCCAGGATCCTCCAGGAAGAATCTGGACTCTTTCTGGGGGTACAGCCTGGTACCCCTTTTCTACCCCTGCCCATTCCTTAACAGCTCCCCACTCAGACATGCCTGGGAAGGAAAAAGCTGCGGAGATGTCTAGCTCCACTAATGAGTTAAAGCTGCAGCTCCCCCAGACCCTGGACTCTTTGTGTATGAGAGGGGGAGTGGCTGATGGCTGCTTCCTGTGTCTGATGGGTCCCAGCCTGGCTTCTTAGCAGGAAGAGGAGTAGAGAGAGTCTTAAGGACTCCCCCACTGTCTGGGTTCTAGAGAGTGCCAAAAAGCTAGAGTGGGCCTGGGCTTGTTTTTGTTTTTTGTTTTGTTTTGTTTTTGTACTGGAGATTGAAGCCAGAGCCTCTGCCAGCCCTTATTTTATTTTGAGACAGAATCTCACCAAGTTGCTCAAGATAGCCTCAAATTTGGTATCCTTTTGTCTCAGCCTCCTGAGTAGTTGAGATGACAGGCATGTGCCACCCACACGAGGCTTAGAATGGGGCCTGTTCCAGTGGGTTCGGGGAAAACTCAAGATTAGTGGGAGTAGGGGTAGGGTGTCAAGGCCTTACCTTCTGGATGGCTGGGGTGGAAGGTACTGAGCGTTGAAGGCGGTTTTCAGCCAGGTGCAGGTAGGTATGACGAAAGGCACCAACAGGTCGTGGCCTGCCCACCATTTTATACAGCTCTAGGCCCAGCAAGCCTGCCACCGCTGCTGTAGTGGTGGCAATGGCTGGGATGATCTGGCTCACCATTCTCATGCTCTGCCAAGGACAGGAGATTTGATCTGGCCCACATTGTAGCATTAAAGTTTGGCCCCCATTTCCAGGCCTGTGCCCCAAGAGCTGGGGTTACCTGAGCATGGTCTACTGGTTCTGAGATCCCATAGTTCTGAGATTGCAGGCTAGCTGCTGCTCTCACAAAGTCCATGTGGAAGTTACCGTCTTCATCCTGTATGGCCCAGGTGATAACTGTGTGAACACTGCAGCAGTGCCCCTCACCAGGGTCACCTGCGTGCCACGGCTAGATCTTCTCATGGTTCTGTGGGTGGGTGCTCACTATCTCCCCTTTACCACATAATGAGGCTGAAGCTCAAGGAGAGTGATCTGCTTGTAAGGCCCCACTGGGAGGAGAATTCAGTCTATACTTTAACTCCTCACTTTCCCCCACAATCTTCCCAGCCCAACCTCTCACCTCCACTTAGAATCCCACCTTCTCAAACACCAGGGACTTCAGGGGAGGGCCCTTGCTCCAGACTTCCAGGGCTTCCTGCAGTTCTTTCAACTGTTCAGGGCCTGTCAGGGGAGTAGGTTCTGGGTGTCTTTAGTCTGTCTCCTGTATTCTTCCTGGAGCTTGGTACCTATTCTTGGTGTCAGCCAAGACTGTCACCACTTCTTGATCAAACTGAAGAGCCCACTGATTGATGCTACAGTCTCTTCTCCAGCCCTCCCCATCTGTGCATGTGCACACACCCATGTGACTGTCTATAGTTAGACATCCCCAGGGCTTTTAAATTCTAATATTCTCCCAAGAGAACTGGAATATGCAGTAGATAGCAGGGAGAGGATCTCCTGGTGGAGCCAGAAGATGGGGCTAGAGAGAAGCGAGGTAAGAGGGTCTGAAAGGTAGTAAGTCAGTTGTAGGGATCCAGGACCCCATCTTCTTTCTGTAGCACAAACTGAAAACAAGGGCAGGCCTCTGAGCGGCAGTATGGGAACAGGGCCAGGAGACTCACCAGACTCAGCTAGCACGGGGGCCGGGTGCGGGGGGTCAGTCTGTAGCAGCAAGTTCAGCAGTTCCCTGAGCGCAATTTGATCTGATGAGCCAGGCAGCCCATGCATCTGGGCAAATAGGTTGGCAGCTGCCAGTATGTAGAGAAGGTGCATGTCCTACAGCCAGAGATGCATGGGTGTAAATGAGCACATCTGAGCAGACAGGGTGGGGTCCACTGTCCATCTGTGGGTAGGTTGACTGCTTGCCTCACATATGGACACCCATGTGTGCACAAACATGGCTCTTTCTCTCGGCATCTATGCATCTCTATCTCAAGGCTTCCCAGAGGACCCCCACTCACTTGGCTGATGTCAAATTTCAGGGGCTGGGGACACCGTTTAGGACCTGACCAGAACGGAGTTCCATCCTCATGCACCTAGGAAAACAAAGCCTGCTGAGTTCAGTCTAGTCCCCATGAGTTCTCGGTCACTCAACCCTAAACTACCCACTTTATCTGGTGGGAGGAGGCTCAGCAGCTGTATGATGTCATCATGGAAACATAGTTGCCAGTGGCCAAGGGCCCACATGACACAGTCTCGCCAGGTCTGTGGGCGTACTCGCAGGACACCCAGCACCCGCTGCAGTGAGGTCAGCATCTGTGGCCCATCCACATCTGCCAAGGAAGTGCATGCCCTGCTCAGAAAGGAGAGAGTTGGAGGCTGAGTCCCATGCTCAGAGCCCTGGACTTCCCTCCACCTCTGTTGGGGCCTTACTGTTGGTAGCAGCTGATGGTTTCTGCAGATAGTCGGAAGAGTCCCTCAAATTCATTCCGAGCCCACTGTGGGGGAAGGAGAACAATGAGCTATCAGAGGAGCAGCAGATCTGCACCTGAGTGTTAAGCTGGGTGGGATGGCATGCTCTCACCTCCAGGGTGTGCTCATATGTGCTGGGGAAGCGCCGCATGGTACAGACAGGGGTGGGGGCATCCTCAGAAGCTTCAGCTGAGGCAGGGCCTTTGTAAACCTCAGTCACATATGGCACAAACACTGAAGCACTGCCCTTAGTGCCCTGTGTGCCCGCCTCTAGCAGGGGCTTCAGGTAGTGGATGCAGCGAGCAGCCACATAGTGCCCTGGTAAGGGGGGAGAGGGTCAGAAGTGGGACTGGCACAGACTTGGGCAAGGTGCTGAGCTCTGAGTTAAGCACTCACGGGCCTCGAAGCTGTCCACAGCAGCAACCACACCATCCACATGGGAGAAGAAGTTGTCTCCATAGATGTGTTCTGTGGTATGATCCAGGACTTGGACATGCGCCATCACCTCTAAGTCTGGGTTCAGATCCTGGGTAGCTGCTGCAGCCACCTCTGCCTTGGGCTTCTGGGAAGAAGGGAGAAAGATGTTGGGTACAGGTGCATTATGGGAAGGCAAACTAGGACACAAGTGTAGGAGGGTCTGGCACTTACATCAATGTCCCAGGGCCTGAAGAGGAACTGACGGCTGAGGTTGGAGTACTCTATGTGGTCCATGTCTACAACAGTCACACCTCCACTGGCTCCAGCTCCCAGGCCCACTAGGGCAAAGCCTTTGAGTAGCTCACAGCCAATGGCACCAGCACCCACCTGTGGTCAGGAGCAGCCTTAACCAGGAGGTCTGAGCAGGCCCTCCCAAAGACATACCCATCCTCACCCCACAACTCACCAGGAGGTAGTGTTGGTGACTCAGTGTCTCCTGAAAACCAGCTCCAAACACTGCAATTTGCCCATCATAGCGCGAGTCTCTCTAGAGAACAGAGAGGGGTCTGTGCTGGTTGCCTGCCTATGTGGTATCCTTGTTTCACTGAGTCATTAACTCAGGACCTCAGGACCATTCCTCATACTTCTCTTCCCGCCCTGATTTTGAACAAGGCTTACACCTCTGCCCCAAGCCTCACCAGGGCGCAGTCCTCAGGATTAGGAAAGAGTTCCTCATCTTCTGGAAGACAGTCAAGGGCATCAAAGTACAGCCACTGGTCCAGGGGTATGAACTTTCTGGAGATTGCCTAGGGGCCGACACTTTGGTCTGAGGGCATCTGTCAACTCCTGACCCCCTCAGATCCAGCTGAAGCCTGCACCTAGGTTGGTGAACCCTCTAGGGCTGGCACACACTGACCCATGGACCTCCCCACCCCATGCCCTTCCCTGTTGGTGCCCACCTTCAGAACTTCCTGGGCAGTCACTGCTCCCAGAATGGATGCCATGGGGCTCAGGACACCAGCACTACTCAGGGCAACTGTCCGAAGTAGGGCCTCATTCAGTGGCTCTTCTTCTGCCCCCTTCAGTGGTCCCAGGTTCTGGGCAAGGGTTACCATGATCTCTGCATCAACCTATGGCATGAATCTCTGTGGGCACATCATCCCCAACCTGAGTTCTGCCCCCTACACAAAGCCTTCAGGCACCCAGCCATCTCTTTACACAGAAGAGGAAACAAAAGCCTAAGTGGGAAGGCCCGGCACAGTTGTCAGCCTGGGTAGCACCAACAGAGGATGCCCAACACAAGACAGAGGCCTGGAAGGCTCTACCAATCTGGGTGCAGCTTCTAGCTTGGCTCTGGTATGTTAGGACAGTGGAGGTCATGAGGTTGTATGCCTGGCATTTTCATGGTCCCAGCCTCTAATCTAAAGATAGTGGCTTTCAACTGTGTATACTGGCATATGCCTGTAATCTCAGTTACTTGGGAGGCTGAGGCAGGAGCATTGCAAGTTTGAGGCCAGCCTAGGCAACTTAGTGAGATTTTGTCTCAAAACAAAAACAAAAACAAAAACAAAAAAAGAGAGCTGTGCATGGTGTTGCACACCTGTAATCCCAGCACTCGAGAGGCTGAGGCAAGAGGATCGCTAAGTTTGATGCCAGCCTGGGCTGCATAGTGAGACACTGTCTCATAAAAATAAAACAAAAAAGAGGCAGGGATTTACCTCAGTGCCACTGTGCCTGCCTCACAAGCACAAGGTCCTGAGTTCGATCCCTGCTACCACCAAAAAAAAAAAAAAGGAGAAGAAAAGAGTGTTTGCCTAGCACATGGTAAAATACCCTAAATACCCTAGGTTCATTCCCCACTACAGCCTCCCACAAAAGATAGTGGTCTTCATGTCCTTTTTTTAAGTGGACAAACTGCCTCTGGGGTGTAAACACAGACCCGTGAATGGTCACAGAGGTGAGGTCTGGCAGGTGAGACGCCAGCTAGACAGGCTGAAGGTGGTGTGGGGGTCACTCACAGGATCCCAGGGTTGCGGTAGCCGACCATGGAGGTTCTGGAACTTGTGCAGTGCACGGAAGGCTTGATGTAGGCAGTGGGCACGGTGGGCTTCCTGGGCACTTGGAGCCACCACACAGGGCTGGATCAGGGCTCTGTCCAGGGGCTTCTGCAGAGGACAGCTCAGCGTCAGGACCAGCCACTGCCTGGCCCTTCCAACTGCTTAAGTGCTCCCCTTTCAGATGCAAATGCACTCACATGTCTCACAGTCTCAGGTCTCTTGACTTCAGTGACAATCCCACCATGTAAGTATGGAGAAAAAGTTGATGTATCCCCGATCTCCAAGGACCGATCCTCTGGGAGAGATCCAGCCTAGAGGTTAGAATCCCTGAACCTGAGTGGTTCTCACTCCTATCCTGACTTGCATGTGTGTCCTAGACCTTGCTGCATCCTGGGGAAGGTGAAGGGGAACCTAGCTCCAAGGACCAGGTGTGTGCATCCCCACAGGGCTGGAGGGGGTTGGCTTACTCTGCACACGGATGGGCCGAGGAGAACAGCTGTTGAGCTCAACCATGCCCTTGATGCCTGAGAAAGTCACCAAGTCCCCGTCACAGAAGGAATGTTCCTTGTCTTCTCCTCTCAGAGTGAGGACACCAGGGAAGCCCTGGGTGAAAGGTGGCTTGGCTCAGGAGTCCCCATACCTGCCTTCCACAGGCCTGGGCAACCCTTTCCTGCCCATATCCTTGCACCTACCTGGGTGATGTGCTGGATGGCAGCTGTCAGGGGTTCCGCCTCTGTAGGGTCATGCACTATGAACTCATCACCAAAGTCACAGAACAACTGCCTAGTATGAAGTGGCAGGGGTCATGGAGGTGGCTTACAGTTTGAAAGGAAGGATAGGGGACACTATGACAGGCCCAGAGGCTCAAATTGAAAGAGAAAGCAGAGAGAGACCAGGAAACTAGAGTTTGAAGGTGGGGGTTACTATAGCAGATCTGCAGGCTAGGGTGGAGGAACCAGAGAGGTGGAACTGGGGACCAGAATTGGCTGGGCAGGCAGTCTTACTCACCCCACGAGTCCCCGGGTGTCAGCCACTAGAAAGCAGATTCCATGTTTGTGGCACAAGGCACCCACCATCAACTGCTCCTCCAGCTTGGAGGCAGTCAGCACCACCACCTAGGTAAACACTGAGATCAGCAGGTCCAGAGCCACTGCCCAGCTCTCCCTGCTGCTGAGGGCTAAAGTGAGGGGCGAGGCTGGCCTGGAAAGTGGGACCAGGGAAAGCACCTGGAATTTCAGCAGTAGGTCCTCAGTGATGTCACTGGGGTGGACGAAGACCTGGACAGCTTCATTGAGTTGAGCCAAGTGTTCTTGAGAGGCCTCAGCCCTGCTCTTTCCCAAGTCTCTCTCTGAGAGAAAAACCTGAGGAGAGACCCAGTGCAGCCTGAACAGAGACTCCCCAAGTCCTGATCCCACTCTGATCTGAGAACCAAAAGCCATCCAGGACCCTTACCTGAGCAGCCAGGTCAGACCAGCAGGTGGGATGGGGATCGTGCAAGGTGAGGCTGCCCACACCCATCAGGACCAGGTTCTTGGCCACCTCAGCCCCCAGGCCCTGCAGGCCTGACAGCAGGACTTTGGCTTCCCTAATTCTCTGCATGGCTGGTGGGCCCAGCACAGGCCTGTGGATGGACAGCAGAACCGCAAGCAGTTGAGACCAGAAATCTGAAGGCCACCCACTCCCTCCCCCATTGCAAGGCTCACAGCTGCCTGGAGTACAGCTCCTTGTCCAGCCACTCCGAAGGCTCCAGGACAGCCATCTTCTGGACCTGAGGCCAGGAAGCAGGCTGCAGTGCTCACAGCCCCAACTCTGTGGAGGAACAGGCACCAGCAGAGGTTTCCGCTGGTACCGACAGGCACCTAAACCAGGTAGTGAAGGACGCTGCTGGCCTTTTCCTGGCTCCTCTGTCATTTCAAGGGAAAGCAAAAGTGAAAGTGAAATTAGACTGTGAAACTAGCTGGTTCCTGATTCTGACTCCCCTTCAGCACAGAGGCCAGCCCTCAGCAGACCAAATGGGGTCTCTCCTAGGGATGAATCCCAGCCCTGCAAAGGGGTGGTGTTCTGAGTCACCTTGGAGCGGGGAGGCATGGAACAGCCAAAATCATGTGTCTTGATTTTTTTCTTTAAACTTTTGTTCTGAAATCACTGTAGACTCACAAGAAGTTGCAAAAATAGTAGAGAGAGTTCCCATGCATCCTTTCCAGGCTTGTCTTTTTGCCTTCTTAGGTACTTCCTGCCAGGTCTCTGAAGTACAATCCACAGTTTCCCACAACACTCCATGAGAGGTAAACCAAGAGTTGTCATGGGGGTTCGTTCTTTCTTTCTTTCTTTCTTTCTTTCTTTCTTTCTTTCTTCCTTTCTTTCTGTTTTGTTTTTTGGTACCAGGGATCGAACTTGGGACCTTGTGCTTCCAAAGTAGGCAATGGAACCACTGAGCTAAATCCCCAGGCCTGTGGGGGGTTCTTTCTTATTGTCTCCTTTTGCAATAGGGGAATGGAACCAAGGACCTTTGTATTGAACTACATCCCCAGCCCTTCAATTTTTTTTTTTTTGGAGCAGAATCTCACTAAGTCACTAAATTACCCAGGCTGGGCTCTAACTTGTGATCCTCCTGCCTCAGCCTTCCAGAGTGTTGGGATTACAGGCATGAGCCACCATGTCCGACCATAAATTGATAGTTTTTCTCTCTCTTTCTCTCTCTTTTTTTTTTAACTCAGGTGAAATTCATATAACAAAATAAACTATTTTAGGGGGATATAGCTCAGTGGTAGATCCAGCATGTGTGAGGCCCTGGTTTCAATCCTCAGCACCATTACAAAAACATTTAAAGTGTACAATTCAGTGGCATTTAGTACATCTAGAGTGTCATGTAACCATCACCTCTCTCCAGCTTTAAGAGTTTTCATCAGGCCAGGCATGATGGTGCACACCAGTAATCCCAGCACTTGGGAGGCTGAGGCAGGAGGATTGCCATAAATTTGCAATCAACCTGGGCTACATAGTGAGTTTTCAAGGCCAGCCTGGACTACATGGTGAGACCCTGTCTCAAAAAAACAAACAAAAGTTTTCATTATTCCAAAAGAACACTTCAAACATATGTTAAGTAATTACTACTCATTCCCTACCCCCAGTGTGATTCCTTAACAAATACTACTATGCTTTCAGCCTCTAGAGATCTGGCTATTTGGAGTATTTAATATAAAATAAGTTATACAGGGGCCAGGGATTTAGCTCAGTGGTTCTGCCACCTGCCTCGCAAGCACAAGGACCCAAGTTTGATCTCCCATACCACCACCACCCCCCAAAAAATTATACAAAATGTGAACTTCTATGTCTGCTTTTTTCATTTAACATATTTTTTTTTTTTTGAGACAGGGTCTCACTGTGTACCCAGGCTGGCCTCTAACTGGAGGCAATCCTCCTGCCTCAGCCTCCTGAGTGCTGAGATTACATGTGCCATCATGCCCAGGTTGCTGTGATCATTCTTAAATAAATCCTTGTTTGAGTAATTATTTTCACTTATTTTAGGTACATACCTGGGAGCATTTACTAGGTCATATGGTGATTCTATGTTTAACTTTTTTTTTTTGGTACCGGGGATCGAACTCGGGTCTTTGTGCTTGTGCAGCAGGTGGTGAAACCACTGAGCTAAATCCCCAGCCCTGTTTAACTTTTTGAGGAGCAACCAGATTCTTCATAGCAGTTGCACCATTTTATATTCCCAACTAACAATCACAGAAATTCCTATTTCTCTATGTCATGACCAAAACTAGTTGTTTTTCTAATTTTACTTATGGCACCAGGGATTTAGCTCAGTGGTTCCACCACCTGCCTCGCAAGCGTAAGGTCCCGAGTTTGATCCCTGGTACCAAAAAAAAGTAACTTCATTAATTTTACTCATCCTAATGAGTGTGAAGAGGTAGGTCACTGGGGTCTTTGCTGTCATTCAACAAACATTATTAGATGTGTCAGATGTACCAGTTTCAGAAACCAGGGCCAAATTCCGAAGTAAGGTGCTATCTTTAATTGACATCAAAAAGTATTTAAGGAAGTTCAACACCCTTTCATTTTTTTGTTTTAATTTTTGTTTTTAGACAGGGTCTGGCTTTATAGCTCAGACTGGTCTCAAACTCTTGATTCTCCTGCCTCAGCCTCTGCAGTTGTGGGATTACAGGAATGCGCCAGCACACTCAGCTCTGTTCTTTAAATTTATTTATTTTAAAATTTTGATTATTATTATTATTTTTGGTACCAGGGATTGAACTTGGGACCTTGTACTTGTGAGGCAGGTGGTGGCACCACTGAGCTAAATCCCCAGCCCTAAATTTAAAAAACTCATTAAAATAGATTCTTTTTTTTGAGGCAGAGTCATTATGTAGCCCAGACTGGCCTTGAACTTGTGATGATCCTCCTGCCTCAGCTTCTCCAGTGCTGTGATTTCAGGTGTGAGCCACCACACCTGGTAGAGATGGATGGATTTTAAGAATTGTGGTAAAATATACATGAGAGCGAATGTACCATTGTAAGTGTCTAATTCAGTGGCATGAAGCACATTTACATTGTTGTACAATGCTCATTACTACTCATCTTCAAAACTTTTTTTTTTTTTTTTTTTTTTACCAGGGATCGAACTCCGGACCTTGCACTTTCTTTTTTATTTTTTAAATTTTATTTTATTGGTGGATTTTAGGTATACAATATAATGACATTCATCATTAGAAATTTGCACCTTTACATAATCTCTCTTGGTTCTTATTTTTCCCCCTTTCCCTGCCCTCCCTTCAACCCCTCCATCCCTCCCCTTTTTTTTGGGGGGGGGGTATTGAACTTGGGTCCTTACGCTTGGGCAGCAGGCAGCGAAACCACTGAGCTAAATCCCCGGCCCCTATCCCTCCCTATTTACAAAGATTTTGTTTCCATTTTTCCATTTTCTCATATTAATTCCATTCCCTTCTTTCCCTTCCCCTACACCTCCCACTTCCCCTCCCCTTTGCCCCTTTTCTTCTTATTTCACATGATCTATTATACCTTTTAGTCCCTATTTACAGTTTCAGTTTCTCACACTAGAGAAACTATTCGGTATTTACACATGTGTGTCCTATTTATTGCACTTAAGAGTATCACTTCAATGTGCACCCATTTAGCTATAAATGTCTCTAATTTCTCATTTTTTATGGCTGAGTAGTACTCCATTTTATAAAAAAAAACCCCACATTTTCTTTATCTAGTCTCAAGTTAATGGGCAATGAGGCTGCTTCCAAGTTTTAGCTATTACAAATTGTGCTGCTATGAACATGGGTGCACATATATCAGTGTGGTATGATTTTTTAATTCTGTGGGGAAGATACCCACCAAGGGAATACCTGGGTCAAATGGGACTTCCAGTCCTAGTTCTTTGAGGTATCTCCATACTGATTTCCACAGTGGTTGCACCAGTCTACACTCCCACCAGCAGTGGAGCAGGGTTCCTCTTTCCCCACAGCCCCGCCAGCATTTGTTATTGGTTGATTTCATGATAGCAGCCATTCTTTCTGGAGTGAGGTGGAATCTCAGTGTTGTTTTCATTGGCATCTCTCGAATGACCAGTGATGTTGAACATTTTCTCATATGTTTATTTGCCATTTCTACTTCTTTGTCTGAGAAATATCTGTTCATTTCAGATGCCCATTTTTGGATTGGGAGATCTGATTTTTTAAAGTTCTTTATAGATTCTAGATAGTAGACCTTTGTCTGAGGAACAGCAGGCGAAAATTTTTTCCCACATTGTGGGTTGTCTCTTCACACTGTTGGTGGTTTCTCTTGCTGTGCAGAAGCTTTTTAAAAAGAAGAGATCCCACTTGTTGATTGTTTGTGCTAGTTCATGGGCAACTGAGGTTTTGTTCATAAAATCTTTTCCTACACCGATGTCTTCAAGAGTTCTATCTAACTTGTGTTCCAGCTGGTTCAGTGTTTCTATTTTAATATTTAGATCTTTAATCCATTTTCATTTTAGTTTAGTGCATAGTGAGAGATATATGGACCTTGCACTTTCGAGGCAGGCGGTGGAACAACTAAACTAAATCCCCAGCCCTCCTCAGAATTTTTTTTACCTTCCCAAACCAAAGCTCTGTACCTATTAAACAAAACCTCCCTGTAGTCCCCTTCCCATTTTCTGTCCAATAACAAAATGCCTGAAGCTGGGTATTTATAAAGAAAAGTTTTATTTAGATCACAGCTCTGCAGGTCTAAGAGCATCCTGCCAGCTTCTGCCCAGCCACAGAGAGAGGCGTCATGGGAGACAAAATCAGGATGGTGGGGGCTGGTGCAGAGGAGAGCACAGGGTGAGACAGAAAACCAGGGAGATTCAGGGGTCAGGGCTGCTCTTTTTTAAATTTTTTTTTTTTTTGGTACCAGGGATCAAACTCAGGCCCTTGCGCTTTCAAGGCAGGTGGTGGCACCACTGAGTTAATTCCCAGCCCTTGCATTGCTCTTTTCCCTTTAGTTAGTTAGTTAGTTAGTTAGTTTTTTTTGTTTTTTTTGTTTTGTACTGGGGATTGAACTTGGATCCTTGCGCTTGCGAGGCAGGCGGTATTTGTTTGTTTTAAAGAATCTTTTTTTTTTTCTGTACCAGGGATCAAACTCAGGACCTTGCGCTTGGAAGGCAGGTGTGGTGCCACTGAGCTAAATCCCCGGCCCTGGTTTGTTGTTGTTTTGTGAGGTGCTGATGATTGAACCCAGAGCCTGGCACATGCTGGGCAAGTCCTTCACTGTGCAACCTGCCAGCCCATCTTGTTCTTTTTATTTATTTTTGTTTGTTTGTTTTGTTTTGGTCCTGGGGATTGAACTCTGGTCCTTGCGCTTTCGCAGCAGGTGGAGAAACTACTGAGCTAAATCCCTGGCCCTATCTTGTTCTTTTTATAAGAACTCATCTTTGAGGGAACTAACTGGGGTCTAACAAGAACATTAATTC